TGAAGTCTTCACGTTTTTTACTTCTAATAAGTGTCTTTCTTTGGGAACTCTTGTTTTTAGAAGTCGATGTTCTCTTGTGTTGGACCCTTCTCTATTCAAACTAGGTTGATCTTTTATTCCTTTATTAGATCCATTTCTTATTTCCCTTCTTGTATGATTTGCTTCTAACCGCGATACATTCAAGCTCATCATCTTCCTTAGGAACCGAAAGTTCTTGTGAAACTTGTCCTACTCTAGAAAATACCGACTTCTTCTTTAGGATACTCTCCCGATTGTCGTATCCGTATGACCTCTCAAACAAGCTTTTTCTTTCCCTTTTGGGGTTCATACCCCAATATGTCGGTTCATACATAAAGACTAGCTCACACTCCTTATGTAAGGCTCTTTTAAGTATTTTGAGGTTTTAGAACAACATCGCTATTTACGGAGCTTGCTAGATTATCTATCCTCTAGAAAGGTTTGATGGAATCAAGGGTCTAAGGTTTTTGTAGACCTTACCCTTATTAGCTCATACATGTCCATGAGGCTAGGACCTTGCAACTCATTCTTATTTGGGATCACCTTTCTTTTAAGGACATTTTTTTTTTATATAAACCTTTTAAAAGTTAAGCATGCATTGGTTGTATGGCTATCTATCATATGCCATCGACATATCTACTTAGTCACCTATGATTGATCTATAGATGAAAATTTCATAAACTTAGCTTACATTAGATAATTAAAGTATTCGGTATCCGTCATAGTGTCAAATGTCACAACTTACAATTCATTAGAACAAACAAAAGCATTAATGATAGAATCACATTTATCATAGCAATAGCATCTATTGTATTTGCATTTGGAAAAGGAACCTTTATCGATTCTTATTAGATCATTTCTTTCTAGAAATTTGAGGTTTTTGGCTTTTATTAGATCATGTATTAAATTTCTAAATATATGCAATTCCTAGTTGCATTTCCTAGTACTCCATGCCACTTGCAATATGGTTTTCCATTCTACACTTGCTCTATAAAGGTTCCGTGTTCTTTTTTGGTTTTGGCTCTTTTATCGGCCACGGAGCCAATCAAATATTTGATTAGCTTGATTGATGTCAAAAGAATAGTGTCTTACATCGGTGGATTTGAATGACTTCACAACTTTATCATTTTTCTTGATGAGAGCATCACATACTAATGGTGCTCTGTGGATGAATTTTGTCATTTCAACTTCCCATAGAATAGGTTTAAAATAGTAAATCTCATAGACTACAAACTTTCTATCTCTTCCTTTCTTAAGCAAACTTTTATACTTACATTCCGTACTCCTAATTCATACACATCTTTAAATTCCACCCACTTTAAATATCTTTCTAAGTTCAAGTTCCAAATGTTGTTGGGCTATAGCTACAAGCTCATTTCGAGAGATTTTTATCGAGCTCTTGGCTCTAACCTCTATGAATCTATCTAGGTATTCATCGATAGATTCTCTTAAGTATTATTTATACTTAACTAGGTTTGATAATCCTAGTTTAGGTTTAGTCTTCGAGAAATAGGCTTGAGAAATAGCTTGTATTTCTATCTAGGAATGTAGGGAATGCGGAGAGAGATTGATACACTATGAGAATGCTCCTTCAGTAAAGGAGTTTGAAAATAACCTAATCATAGTAATTATAGGTAAAATTTTCTCTATATTGGCATATGAACCTAACTATATGCTCTAAGGTAGTGGATCGTTTCTTGTTTAATGGATAGGGTGAAGTGAGAAAACCAAAATTTAGGTCGATAGGAATATTCCTTATCTATGTAATCGGGATAAGGATGGCAATAAGTAGGCTTGTAGACTTGCTAGATCTTAGAGCTAAAAGCTTACTCTACAAGCCTTACTATACACTCTGGATCTAGTTGCAAGGGTTGTTGTTGGGGCTACTATCCTAGTTTGGGATCATTGAGTGGTAGTCTTTATCTCCTTATCTCCTCCTCCTTATGTTGTTTGCCTCTAGCCGTATCATATAGAGGCCTATGAAGATGATTACTTCCCTCTAAAGGTTCATATAGTTCTCTAATAAACTTTCTTTCACAACTAGTTTCTCCTATGGTTGTAGGTTTATGTCAAGTTGTTTAGGGATATTTTTTAGCTTCAAAGAGAGGGTTTTATCTTCTTTCATAGCCGCTCATGTCTTTGTAAAAATCATTATAAGCTCTTCTATGTCGGATGGCTTTGAAAGGTTTTGTGTGGTTTGTGGCCTTAGGCATTCTTTCTTCCAATTGGTTTCCTACTTTCAAGGTAATTGCTTGGATATCTTATGTACAATCTCCGACATGGTATGATTAAAATCCCTAATAAAATTATTAGTCCTTTTTTTAATCTTAGATTCCAAATGATTGCCAACATCCATGAGAGTTTGATTAAAGCCTAAATGAGCTTCTCTTTAAGGTCTAAAGGGTATCTAAGTTGTGCCAAATTTCGGAGACTTTTTTGTCTCCCTTTGATATTGGACTCCACGAGAATGTGAGTTGTCTTATTAGTGGCGATCATCAACTCTTTGTAGTGATTTTATATGGCTTTCATTTTCAACCCATATTGTTTTTCTATTTGTAGAGCTATGGCTTTGTATTTGATATCTATCTCTTTGCAAGCCTTCCTAAACCTTTCTTCCAATAGATTATGGATTTCTTTTACTATCATTATAACGAGTTCATTGAGTGTAGTTGAACCTAAACTAGCTTTTACTGCAATAAATTATTGCATTAGAATGGTGAGTTTCTTTACCTTCATCCCATGTAGATGAGACTCCAATTGCACTTTTAGATCCCATTTTAAATAGCACTCCCATTGTGGTCGCTAGAAAATTGTTATAGATTCTTTTATGCCAACCTCGATTAAGAAGACTTTGAAACAAAAAGGTTTGAAAGATGATTGGAAGGTAGTCTCTAGAAGCGACCTATTCTAGACTTTAAATTGGATGACTATAATGATTAAGCGAGTTATCCTACTATTGATTCTAAAGATATTCAAATGCTTAAAATAAAAAGCAACTAATACTTACACTAGAATGCAACAACCTAAATTCTTTGAAAGGGTTTTTAAACTACTCGGAATGTCTAAAATGCAAGATTAGAAGGCAAGTATACGATAAATAAAATAACTAAAAATCAATACCTTGAACTCTTATAATAGTATGTAATCAAAATAATTAAACTAAATTGAAAACAAACAACTTAACTAATGACGAATGATTGGAATTAAAGACTACAAAATTGAACACAAAATAGAATTGGTAGACATTAACTAAAAAAAAATTTACAAACAATAGTGACTTTGCAAATGTAGTAACTTAAAGACATAGAAAATGATGAGCAAACACTAGTTGAAATTTCAAACATTAAGAGATGAGATCTGCTTAAGTCGTAACGAGAGTGGAAACCGAACCAAAGATGAACTACTAACCTATTGTTATTACTTACTATTATTGTTTATTGATTACTACCTACGATTATTGCCTACAAACTATAACTTATTGTGTGTCAAATGCCGAAACAGTTTGAGAGTTGATGTTCATAATTTGCAAGAGTATTATTGTTGCATATGTTTGTTGTGTTCTTTTGCCATATTACGGTTGGTATTTATAGCCTTTGCATCTTACTACATTACATTCTACTATACCGATCACGTTCCTAAGCTGCAATATCCCACGTTGAGCTAGCCTTCCACCCAAGACTCTCGAATCATTATGGTCGACTTTCATTTTTGTTCGACCAGTTGATCTCACAATCAAGTAGGCTTATATCATTACTCTCGAGCATAACTTTTTATCTTAAGTTGCAACATCCTATAACTTCTTGCTTTAACTTGCAATGCTTTATGTTTGTCTTCAATTGCAATACTTTTTTTTTTTTTCGTATTCTCACTCATTTGTTGCAACATTCCCACATCCGTTGTATGTTTCGACTTATGCCCTCGGTTATCCGAATAATTTGTTTTTGTATTCTTATTAGTCTTTTCTTTTGAATAGGATTTTGTTTCCCATATCTTTTGACCACGATGCAATTTTGTTTGAAATCCATTAGGTCCTATTGTCTTTTGGATATAATACTCTTCATGTAATCTGAGCTTCTTTAGAGAGAGTGGGCCAAAAGCCTTTACTCGTAAATTTAATGATATCAAGCCCATTAGTCACCTTTAATAACCTATAGTGTGGGCTTTAAGACCAAAATCTCATTGAACTTTCTTCAATTTGTTCGTTGTCAAGTCCCAATCAATCAAATTTGGATATAATAGAAACTTCGCAACTAAAGCTTATTTTCAATAAGTGAAAGAAATTCAAAGCCAAACGAAAAAAACAAGGCACAACCCTAGTAATGGTTGTATAAACTTATGACTACATTGTGAGAAGGAATGACAAGAATAGCGAAAGGTGATTAATTGAAGAAATATAAACATGAAACCTAAGAACAAGCATGGACAAGCAAATGCTCTAAGCACCTTCCCAAACAATAGATTAATTTGTCTGAGCTTGAAATAAGAGCACAAAAAGCAAATCACATGTCAAACACAGCAAAGAAATCAATTTGGTACACATCTATAACAGGTCACGGCTAAATTACCATTTAACTTTGGTAATTGATTTATATAAATCTTATGTTGGAACCAAACATCGAGATTGTTTATTAATCCGGTAAGCAATACATCCATAAGAGTTTCCAGATTCGTTTAACTAGTCAGAAAGAAAGATTGCAAACCAACTATTCAATAAGAAAGAAAATCGCACTAATAGATTCCCAGAGGTGCAGTACCTTGATGGAAAGCACTCGTGCATGAAGTTGGTGAACTGGAGGTTAGCTTAGAGTAGAACATATTAGGCAGCAGCATTTGTGCTTTCCTTTACAGAGACGACAAGCAACACTCTGACAAAGAAAGGTATGCACAAATAATGCAAGCACATCTTGGACTACATAAAAATATTCACTTAGGTAACAAGGATAATGCCTCAAAATACCAACAGACAGAAATAAATTTTCACATTATCTTGAACTGAAAACAGGCTCTGCTTCTGAGGTTGGTTGTGCTCTTCGAGTGTACTTGAGAAGTAAACCTTCTGAAGAAAGGCCAGGGACATTTAGATCTCTGAAAAATAAATATCACAAAGGGAAATTAACTTACATCAAATGTCAGATCCAGAACAAAGAGAAACGAATAGAAAGAAACAGGATGAAACCTTAAATATGGCTGTAAATCCTTCCACTCCCATTTTGACCGCTCTCTAAAGAGCATATTGAAACGTTCAGCAGGTGTTAAGGGTAATGAAGAAACACTGAAGGCATAAACCCATGTCTCGATGCCTAGCTTCTCCATCAAAACTTCACCTTCCAACATGTCAAAACTTGCTTGCATCCCACCCGGAATCCTTTGCAACCATTCTGCCATAAAAGTCTCCATCTTCTTCTTCTCTGTGCTCAAGATTTGTCTTGCAAAATGCACACATACACGCCTCTCGTCCAACTTCCAAACACAACTTCTTCCCACATCCCCGTCCACCTTACTGCCATAAACATGCAAACAATGATAGGCAAGCTTGTCAGGAAATCCATCTGACACTAGCACACTCACAACATCATCTTCATTGAGTGCATCCAGTGACCAGTCATTCAACACTGAATTGTGCAAAAGCATCCTCAGAATCATGTCCATGTATTTTTCATCCACAATTCTCCAAAAACCATCAATCTCCACAGCGGAAAGAGCCCGTAATCCACTCCTCAATTCCTCATCACTAGCCTGAACCCTTTCAACTAGATCATCCCAATTATACAATCTTGCTTTATTTTTCTCCACATCCTCCATAAAATCCATTTCTAAAACATCCTCATAGCTGTAAGGATTCTCTGAAAGAAGCAATTTAAGCTTGTCAAGCTTGGGAGCAACCTCAACGAGCTCCATATTTCCATGTGCAACTTTAATGACGGGTGCAAAATCATGAACTCCCCCATCAAAATCTTGTGAACTTTCACAGAGTGCGAATTGACCTGATGGGGGTATAAGCAATGGAGAATTAGAAGTTCCAACAAACTTAATGGCATAGGTTTTTGACCGAGTACAAAGCACCGAATCTTCATCCGGCTGGCCTCGTAAAGTCACCCTACAAAGAAATTAATTTATTAAAAAAAAAAAAAAACAGAAGTCATATGTCGAATGAATTTCCACAACTAAATTGAACTTATACCTCTGGTGGAGGATATCGGGGAGGAGTTTTTCATCGATCTCAAGGAGCATCGTATCATCATGAGAACCAAAGAGACCATGATAGCCAATAGCAATTGATGAGTTTGGTTCAAGATTTAATACTGATTCAGCTCCTTTTATCCGTGATGATTTTTCCATAATTTCTTCAAAAATGAAATGATTAAAATGTTCCAAGCCCACGAAAAGAACACCTTCTCTAATCTCTAGGGTCACTTAGGGTTTCTGCCTGCACCGGCGGCAATTACTAATGAAATAAAACTACGAAAGTCACTGCTATTAACTGGAAGTGAAAGGAAGAAAGAGCAGTTTTATCTACAACCGCAGATATCCAAATCAAATTCAAGAATGAAAAACTTACGGAGCTTAAATCCAAAGTGAGTAAGCGCATCCGTTGCTGAGTCCGATCTGGGTGGGTGGCACAGACAAAATGCGCCCGCGCACAAGAATTTCAATTCTTTTCATTCTCAAATAATTCAAATTAGAACTTATCCATAATTTTCTATTACTTGAGAATGAAAAGAATTGAAATTCTTATGGGCGGGCGCAATTTTTCTGTGCCCGCCAATTTTCTATGCCTTAAGAAAAAGTGTGGCGGTCTAAAGAGTTTTCAGTTCATTATAATTAGTATTAACTAGATGAGTATCTATGCTATGTTGCGATCATACGCATATTATATATATAGTGTTAATAATTTGTATAGTATATTGAAAGTAAAAATTTTATTTTTAATGATTAATTTAAATCGAATCTATATATTGAACAAAATTACTTTATATATATATATATATATATATATATATATATTAAGAAAATAAGAAAAAATTAATAGTGAAAATTAAAAAAAAAAAAGAAAAAAACTAAGATTGAGTATTATAGTGTGAGAATAAAGTAAATCATCGACTTGTTTGAAAAAAAAATAACGATCGATTTTTAAAAATTTTAGCACTCAATCAAATAAAAAAAGAACATAAATTAATTAGAAAAAAAAAAACCAAAGAAAAAAAGATGTATAGTGCATCGGTTAGGGATTAAATTTTTTAAAAAAAAAATTAGAGTTCAAAATGAAATAATTTTAAAATTTTACAAAAAAAAAAATCTAAGGAAAAAACTAAGGGTGAAAATTAAAAAGAAAAAAATAATTTAAAAACTTCAAAAAAAATAAAAAAATAAGAAAATAAGAGTTAAAATTAAAAAAGAAGGGGAAAAAACTCAAGGAAAAAAAGCTGTTCAAATGAATGGTACTCGCATGATGGTTCCCTATTCATACTAATTATAATAATATATTTTAAAAAATAAAACACTCATTTAAAAAATATAAAAATAATTTATTGTAAAAATTTAATAATATATTTAAAAAACATTGATGTTTTAAAATTTTATCAATAACTAAAATTATATTAAAAAATTAATTTGATTAGAATTTTAATAAGAAACAAATAATTGAAGAAATAAATTTTAAACAATACGAGTAAAAGTTTTTAAAAAAAATAAGAAAAAAGTAATAGTGAATTTTTAAAAAAAAAAAAGGAAAAAAAAAACTAAGATTGAGAAGTATAGTGCAAGTGTAAATTAAATCGGTAACTCTGTTTAGAAAAAAAATAACAATCGATTTTTTAAAATTTTAACACTCAAAATAATTGAAGAAATAAATTTTAAACAATAAGAGTAAAAGTTAAAAAAAAAAAACCAAGAAAATAAGAAAAACGTAATAGTGAATTTTTTTTAAAAAAAAAAACTAAGATTGAATAGTATAGTGTGAGAGTAAAGTAAATTATCGACTTGTTTGAAAAAATAACGATCGATTTTTAAAAATTTTAACACTAAATCAAATAAAAAAAACATAAATTGATGAGAAACAAACCAAAGAAAAAAAGACATATAGTGCATCAACTAAGGATTAAAATTTTTAGTTTGAATTTTTAGGGATCAGAATGAAATAATTCAAAAATTAAAAAAAAAAAAACCTAAGAAAAAAACTAAGGGTGAAAATTAAAAAAAAAAAAAATTTAATAATTTAAAAAATAAGAAAATAAGTAAGAGTGGAAATTAAAAAAGAAGGGGAAAAAACTCAAAAAAAAAAATAAAATTCAAATGAATAGTTAAAGGGGGAGGGGTAAAATGGAGAGTTCACTTGTTCATTCACCGTTCAAATAAACAGTTAACTCCCCACCTCTTTTAGATATATAAATAAATTTAAAAAACCTATGAAAATAAGTAAGAGTAGAAATTTAAAAAAAAAAAAAAAGGTTCAAATGAACAGTTAAAGGAGGAGAGGTAAAATGGAGAGTTCACTTGTTCATTCACTTGTTCAAATTAACAATGAACTCCTCACCTTTTTTAGATATATAAAGAAATTTAAAAAACCTAAGAAAATAAGTAAGAGTGGAAATTAAAAAAGAAGAGGAAAAAAACTCAAAAAAAAAAATTTCAAATAAACAGTTAAAAGGAGAGGGGTAAAATGAAGAATTTACTATTCATTCACTGTTCAAATGAACACTTAACTCCCCACCTCTTTTAGATATATAAAGAATTAGTCCCTCTAGTATGAAAAGTAATTTAATAGTCCCTTTGGTTTTGTATGCATTGATAACTTAGTTTTTCTATCAATTTTTTCAGAAATGAAGTGTTGAGAAGTGTTCTTAATTTAGTAGTTTTTGTTTCAAAATACTCCTTTTCTATCCAAATTTTCTCATCTCACACATGTATCAAAAAGAGGAGGAGAAGCTGGGACGATAAAAACGTAAGAAAGAAAATGAAGAAAAATATTAATATTAACGTTCGAGAGGGAAAAAATAAATCAAAAAATATTGGGTCGAATGATAATCGGATTAACCATGATATCTGGATTTATACGCACATGAATATTTTACCCCAATGTTTTAATCTTTTTCTTTGATTTGCTAAGCAAAAGAAAGAATAAATTGACTAAATATCTACTCCCGTTCACAAAGGATATTGCGAAGCCTAAGTGTTCGTTTTTCTCTTTTTTTCTTCAGATAGATAATGGTAGTTTTAATCGAGGTAATAATTATTGAATTAATTGGACCTTTTGGCTTCTATTTTGAATTAATATTTTACCCCATATTGTTGTAGCTGAATGCTATATTATTATTATTATTATTATTATTGGAAAGGCTAAGGAAAAACAGGAGTGGTATTTCACTTCATATATGGTTAGTATATAATGTCAGAATTGGTGTTTTATAAGCAGTATGGTGGAACATATTTATAGTGAGGATACTAATCTTATTAACCAAATATGTTATCTGTGTAAAAAGTAAGGCTGGTTTATTGAAATTATTTGGGATAACTTGAGATTAATAACGGGTTTTGCCTATATTTAGATTTATTTTTAATTATTTTGATTGAAATTTAGTATTCTTTTTTATGCTAATTGAGACATTTTATTCTTCATTTTGTGTTATTTAAGACCTTTTGTTATAGTACTATTAGTTGTGAGTTTACGTGATGATAACGAAATGCTGTCACGCCGAGGCAATGATGGCATGCTGCATTCATTTTTAAATGCATGACACATGTTATACGCGATATTTCAATTAAAAAAATGACATACATGAATATGATTGCACAAAGTTTAGAAAATAGGAATCAAAATATTTCTTATAAAAAATTTAAGGACTAAAAAATTATAAAGAAAGAACCAAATTGTAAAAAATAATAATTTCAAAAACTAAAATAACTTTTTAAAAAATACAAAGACTAAAATGAAATATTTTGACAAACTTGTTTTTAGTATCTATTTAATGTGTAATAAATAAACGGGTGTTGAAAAGTAAGAAATTCTAAATACTTCAAAATTCAAATTGAAAAAAAGAGTTGCACTCTAAAAAAAAAAAAAAAAACTAAACTAAACTTGAGACTAAACCATTTTATTCTTTGATCTAGATAATTAGCTACCAATTTTTTTTTTTAATATAGATAATTAACTACTAGTCAACATTGCTATCTTTTTTATTTTAATTTTGACAAACATATTTATACTTCTTCTTTTTTTTAAATGCAATTTAGGTTCGTATTTTATGTACTTTATTATTTTTAAATTATAATATTATTTTTTAAAATATGTTTTAGAGATTTATTGTGATGGAGTTTCACATGTGATATGCTTTGTAGCATTTAAAAATAAAATAACATGAAAATTTTAAAAAGAATAATTTGATCCATGCTTTTTTTGAATTTTTTTAATTAAAGCCTTATATATATTTTTTTACTTGTTTGGATTAAGTCCCTCTATTAGAGTCTCACGTGTGACATGTTACGCATTTAAAGGTTGATACACTCGCGTCAATGTTACGTCGGTTCACAACTAACGGTGTTATAACAAAGAATCTTAAATAATACAAAATAAAGAGTTGAGAGTCTCAATAAATACAAAAAAGAGTATATGGTCTCAATCAAAATAATCTAAAGAGTAAAGGATGTAGTTATGGGCAAAACTCGATTAATAATGATTGTTATCACTCAATTTTGACCCCTTTGTTTTACAATTTTTTCAAAAAATAAAAATATCAAAATTAAATATGCTTTTTTTTAATTTGCTTTATTATGTAAATTTTTACTTTCAAGTTAAGATTTTTAAGAATCCCATGACTTTTGTGAATTTAGAAAAAATACAAAATGGAAAAAAAAAAAAGGAAAAAAGAAGAGAAGAATAAAAAAAAGTGAGATAAATAGAAAAATTGGGATTTGAGTTGAACTAAAAAATATATAGGAATTTGGAACCAAGAAAAATTAATTAGGATTTAATTGAAGAGAGCTTCAATTAAAAATGGGTTTAAAGAGAAAATGAAGAGATGAGATGAGAAATTGAAGAAAAAAAGAAACTAAGATAAATAGATTCGTCTTTGGTTTAAAGGGCATCTTCGACATTTTTAAAGAAGCTATTTGGTCATTTTGACCAAGAAGGTAAGTTTCGACACCTTTTTATTGCATTTACATTCTTGCTAAATTAAAATACATTTGAATGTGTGTATGTGTGTGTATCATGATATTAATATTAGGGTTGAAAGTTGCTTTACTATTACATTTTGTTTTGGATCGGGTTAATTAGTCCTTATTGAATTTGGATTAGAAACTTTAGGTGTGGCTGAATGGCCTAGGGACTTATTTTCCTTGTT